GGGCACCCTACTCTTTTATTAAGACATTAAATAGAGGAAGTGGAAAAAGAAATTTCTTCGTATTCAAAATTTAATGAAAATTTTCAAGTAGGAGAAATTGATAAATTTTCATTCTACTTAAAGAAATTATGGATAAAATATACAACTAAAAAAAAATGGGAATTGGGTGGGCCATTGGGTGAATGTAACAAAGGTGAACTTCTAATTTTGTGTTTTTATATGGGTGGATGTAACAAAAAAAAAAAAGGTGCTGAGAGCTGCTCAAAAAGGTTTCATGAGAGAAATAGAGCAGCAGATTGATTCTCACGGACAGTATGCGATCGCTGCTGGTCCTTATGCCTTCCTTTTCCGTTTTTTTTTTTTTTTTCTTTTCATTTCATGCCTCCTTAATAAAAATCTCCTTAACTTGAAAAAAAAACAAAAAACAAAAAAAAAAGTCGTGGAGAGGGTAAAACCGTAAATACCAAAAAAAGTCGTTAGCGAGTCACGGAATCAGAGACGGTTTTTAAAGAGGTACCGTTCTTACTTTTTTTACTCAGCCATGCACATGCGTTGGCGTACCACAACGCAAACGTGTCAGACAACTATTGGCCAAGCGGGCTCGCACCTACGAAACAATAGCAGGGTGCGCACGCCGCATTTATGAGTCCGATTGGGGCCACGCATGTAGCTTAAACAAAGGCAACGGTGCACAATCGTTTCCAATAAGAAAGCAACAGAAGTCAAACCATACACTGCTTGTGTATAGCATGTGGTACATTACTACTTCGTGAAACGTCCTTTCCGTGTAAAAAGACATTGAAATTCCATTGATGAGAATGAGGTTAAAATTCGATCTGAAATGACGTGCAGAGACCGCTCCCGTTACATAATGAGAAGGGCTGTTATAACGGCACAAAGATAGGGGCACTATTTTAAAAACCGAAATCATTTCCACTTGCGATTCTGATCTGGATCTGTTGATTAAAATGATTGCAAATTGCTTATATAACCATTATTCTATCGATTTTGGAAAATAACATCAGATTTGGCCATCAAAATCAGGAGTTTTTTTGAAGCTTTTGTAGGAATCCGCTTTTATATCGATTTCAGGTTCAATTCGTCATCAAATGTCCCGCAAATTGGCTTTATTTATTGATAATTAAAACCTTTACAATATTCTGCTGCTCATTTGTTGGAGTAAACTAGGATTCCATCAATTTTGCGTCCAAATCCAAGAAGTCGAAAATTTCCTGAACTTCTAACGATTAACGAAAATTGCAGAAATCGATGGGAATTTCAGTTGATTTGGATCAAATTTCAATGGGGTTTTTCACATAGGTAAGATTGGTTTTAAGCAGCAGAAGAAAAAAGAAAGGGAAAATTTTGTAAAATACAAAGATCAAATGTATAAGAAAACAAAAAAAAAACACAATTAGGGGGGTAACAATCCCAAAATTTTAAATTTAAGGGGTACAAGGGATTTTCATGATCCCAAAGGGCTAATAGGGATGGAAGTTTCGGGGAGGGGGTAAAGGTTATTTTCCCTTTAAAATATTATCCCTCAAATTTGTATTAAATTTCTTGATATTTGAATAAAAAATAATCGTATTGAATCTATCTTCCACACTACAGATCTAATACAATGTATAGAAATAAAAAATAGTATGGATTTTGGGCCAAAATACATACTGGTTTTTGGAATGTTGGGAACTCCTTTGTTAAAAAGAATATTTAATGATCTTTTTAAGAAACTAGGGCTTTTGATGCATATAGGTCATTGATTTGTATAGTGTGTGATTCAATATTTTTATTTTTGTATTTCTCAAATTCTATATTATTATTTTTTATTTTTTTAGAAGAAACCTTGCTTTTAAGATATTTTTTTAAAATGGCATGTCATCAAAATTTATAAGGGGTTTTATTTTTTTATAATGTGGTAGTGTTTTTAATAGGTTTTGTTACATGTTTACTGCAATTTTATAATATCATATTAAGTGTAAGAAACTCTTAATTTTGAAGATAATTTTTAAAAATGTCATGGCATCAAAGTTTATGAGGGGTTTTACTTTTTTATTTTTTATAATTTGGTAAAGTTTTTAATAGTTTTTGTTGATGAAATGCCATAATATCATATTATATTATACATTAATAAGAACATCTTGTATTTTATTTACTGATTTGTTTATGTTATATATTCCACAATATATTATTTTTGTCATAGTTGTAACTAATTTTTAAAAAATTAGATTATATTATAAGACAAAATTTAAATTTATACACATTTTGTATAGTAAAATAATTGTAAAATATACCCTAATAACTCTAATTTCAGAGTATAATATTATATTTCGCTAAGTTATGATAATTTTGGTTGAGTAGAGAGAATTAATAATGTTTAATAAATTGGATCCCAAATTAGTTGAGGAGGACCACTAAATTGGCATAATAGTTTGATTGGCAGTTTGGTTTTAGTGATTAGTATACTTGTGCAAGAACTGTTAGATGGACACCTGAACTCTCTCTCACACACACACACAGAGATAAATGGCTATGCTATTTCAGTTGAGTAAGAATAGGAATTTGTCATTTAAGCCAAGATAGAAATCATTGCATATCTTGCTCAACATAGAATATAATAAATTGTGTCCTCCCTATGTAGGTCCTCAGAGTAAAAGCTGGTCTCTTACATTGAGACTTGAGAGGGAGAGAATGGGGTCTTGAGAGGGAGAGAATGGGGTCTGTCATTTTGGTTGAAAAGGAACCCACTGAGTAACACAGAACTCACCACCACCAATTTTTGCAAAATAATGGAAGTTTCATAATGCATCACCTGTATTTATTTAATTATGAAAACACAAAAATGTTATTTTTAAGGATTTTTTTATTATTTTTTGAGGCCAAAACCAATCGATTAGCTGATCTAAATCGTTGATTAGCTGATTCGACATGGTTTTTGGGATGGCCATTTGAGAAACTTGAAAAGAATAATAGAAGGTTGTGGTTTGCATGAGGTGTCAACCTTTAACAATCCAACTAAAGCGCACATTAAAATCGTTATCGAAAAATATAATTTAAGTATCATAAATTTCGAAAATGGCCTAAAAATCTATGTTACATTTAATTATGTAATCTAAAACTAAAAAAAAAAAAAACACACACATAAGTAGATATACAAACACTTGAAAATCTTGAAAATAAGCAGACTAGATAATATGTTACAAGATGCACTACTTTCATGACATAACTTTCTTTTTTTCCATATCCATATCAAGGCGAGGTGATCAACTAGAGGGTTTTTCAGCATTTAAATAACTTTTTCCGATGGATTTTTGAGGTGTGCCTTACGTAAAACTTGTATAAACCTTCTCCTTAACAGAACTAACAATTAACTTTTTTTAAAAAAGTGTGGTTTCCATAAGGTTGCAACCTTAAACAATTCAATTAAGTGCACCTTCAAATTTTATCATAACATATAATTTTGATGTAAACTATTCGTTGCATTATCTCAAAATCTATTTTCATATCTAGATATAAAACTTTAAGGGAAAGTATATAATAAGACCATATACCTTTAGTACAAGATGATCACAATTAATCTTGACCAGTGGATGTGAAATTGGGTGGCTGCATTTATTTCATTGACCATGCTCAAAGTTCGAAAGAATTTTTCTCAAACCTCGTGATGCACTCAAGTTATTATATTTTACATCGGATGGTTGTAAGTAGTTGTGACCTCCCTATACCAAAGATAAATGGTTTCATTGTACACAATCTCAAATTTTAAACACTAAAAATGATTAAAATCAAGTAGATCTATAAACATATGAAAGTCTTGAAAATGGACAGTCTAGATAAAGTGTTGTAAAATGCACTATTCTTAGAACTCAAAATCTTTTATTTTTCATAGTCATACATTTTAATGTCGAGATGATCAATTAGAGGGTTTTTCAATATTAAAACGATATTTTTTGATGGATATTTGAGGTACATCCATAGTTCTACGTTTTAAGGTTCCAATCTTATATAAACTTTTTCGTTAAAAAAATATCAAACCTAACATGTGCTGTATAGATCTTCTTTTCACATTTCTGAAAGTGATATAAAACTGTTAGGATACTCATCAACAACGGTGGTTATAAAAAATGGCTGTTATCTATATGCATCACATATACAGATTACAACATGATAGACAAGGGGAACAATGGTCATAACGCCACTTAACTGTTATGAAATTGAAGCTGAAAGATCGATATACCTACCACATGGTGTACACTGTACCATACACCACACCATCTGCACATCGCTTAAACTTTCCCAGGAACGTAAAGTGTTAAGAGGAAGAGGCTCGACGCTTTTTTGGGCCAAGCAGGAAAGTTCAAATTAATTTGTCAAAAGAAAAAAAAGGAAAGTCATCTTTGAGGGTTACATTTGCCACTTACATTTTAAGTACTCCACCCAAATGCTTCTAGGTAAATAAAGGTGGCAACGGGCCGGGCCAGTCTTTGCCCTGGCTTATATTGGCCATGATCCGTACCTTGTCCCTGTAGGCCGACCCAAGGCCCGTCTAGCTAGGGCCAGGCGAAAAACAAATTAAAAATAAAATCGAGGGGATGGCCTGACCGAACCAGGTCGACTAGCCCTAATATGGTTATTGGATCTCAAACTGCGGCCTAGACCCTACACTTTTTTTTTTTTTCGTAAAGGTGACCGCCTTTAAAAAAATAAATAAATAAAAACAACCAGAGAGCCTTTTATTAGTTAAAAGAAAAAAGAAAAAAGAAAAGGGCCTTTTAAAACAAACAGTGGCCAAAGGAGCCCTGGAACGTTATACGTTAGACCTTAAAAGTGAGATTTAGAGTTTTATAATTTAAAGAAGAGGACGAGGTGGGGTGATTTAGGGTGGCTGTTTGCACTGACAGCAACAAGAGAATGGCTGTGGTCCTCACCTTTTTCCCCCTCACTTTCCCATTCTCACCACCCAAAAGAGAGGAGTAAGAGGGGGGGGGGGGGGAGAGGGGCACTGGCAGTCAATTGTGGAGTGATGGAGAGGAGAGAGGAGAAGAAAGGAGGAGTGAGAGTGGAGGAGGAGGAGGAAGAGGAGGAGGAAGACGGCGACGGAGAAGAGGAGACAGAGGGAGAAGAGAAGAGGAGAGTGGTGGTTGGGGGGTTGGGGAAGAAGGCGCGGCAGGGTCCGTGTTGCCAGGCCGAGCGCTGTAGGGCTGATCTCAGTGCTGCCAAGCGCTATCACAGGCGCCATAAGGTCTGCGAGGTGCACTCCAAGTCGCCGTCTACGCTTGTTGCCGGTCTTCTCCAGCGTTTCTGCCAACAGTGTAGCAGGTGACCATCTCTCCCCCCCCCCTCCCCTCTCTCTCTATACCTTGAAAGATCAGATATGCTTTAGGCAATGGCATCAAAGGTAAAACAAACGTTTCTCTTGTTTTGAATCTGATTCTCTCTCTCGTGAGAGCAATTCCCCTTCACATTCCCATCAAAGAGATTAAATCTTCTTTTTCTAATTTTCATATTTGGAATTTGGCTCTCTTTCTCTCTACGAAATACCCCTTCTATGAACAAAAATGTTTTTCCTTAACCTAATTAACTTAAATTTTGGTATCTCCCTCTAAAATTAAAAACATGCCCTTGGCATAATCATCTGAAGAAGGAAACTTCTTAATTTAAAATCTCTCTCTCTAGAAATTAGAATGTGTCCTTCACAAACCCAACAAAAACAATAATAATAAAAGAAAACCTCTTGAACTTAAATTTTGTATCTCCCTTTAAAATTAAAAACATGCCCTTGGCATAATCATCTGAACAAGGAAACTTCTTAATTTAAAATCTCTCTCTTAAGAAATTAGAATGTGTCCTTCACAAACCCAAAAAAAAAAAAAACTAAAATAATGATGATGAGTTAGTTATCTTCACTCCCCGTCTCTTCTTTATTTGTTAATTTGATGACCTCTCTACCTTAGTTTGAATCATCATCATCAACTTTTACAATAACTATTTGAGTAAGCTACATAAATCTTGTTCGGCCGTCCAAAGTTTTACTTCAAAGTTTTACACTTAGTATGAATCAATATCATTATTGAGTTTTATGCTATATGATTATGTTCCCTGAGGGAAAGGTATGGTGCACCCCACTAGCCCATTGTGGATGAATCGGACGGTATATGTGGACCTAGGGAGAGTGACATCCGTACGATTAGGGGCCATAAGAGCCAGTCTGTATACTACGATTCTCTCCTTTAACAAATTTCAACTGCGGTCAGCCATCAACTGTTTGTCCTTTCTAATGGACGGTGGAGATGAGCTGCAATTTCTGCAGAGGAGCAAGCGTAGAAGTGCATTTGCAGATCATCTCTACCGTTGTTGATGAGTATGGGCGGTGGATGGATAGTTTTGTGTATCGGAACCATTAACACGTGTAGTAACTTTATATTTTGTTTTTGGGTAAATTCTTGCTTTGTACTCGACTATAACTTTGAGCTTCCTTTCTATTATCGAATGCACTTTAAAGAACTCGAGCCAAACTCTTTTTATTTTTTTTTGGCATAAATTAATGAAAATGCATATAATGAGACTATTTTTCTTTTTTTTTTATACAAAGGGATTACAATTATCTTTGACGGTTAGATTTGAAATTAGGTGGTTAAGCATGTTTCATTGTTAAGCAGTAAAGTCCAAAACAAAATTTTTTAAATGTTATGACACAATTTCTTCTATTAGATTTCACATCTAATGGCTAAATGTAATTTTGACCTTTTTGTAAATTAAAAATGGTCTCATAATATACAATCTCTTAATGAATATGGCTGAAAATGTGCATATTCGAGAGTGTAGTGTATTATTCTCAATCTCTATTGAAGTTATCTTTAATCCCTTCCAACCATCCATTCGCATGTACAGTGAAGCAAAAGGTTTTATCATTAAGTTGGAGCATATTGTCTATTGAATCCCTCCGGTAAAATTTAATCTAATAATATTTATAGGACCCCATAATTTAGTGATGTTATCCTCTTCAACCTAGTGACAAACATCAAAAGAAAACATTTTCTAATTACACTGTCTAAAAAAATGATGTCCTAGGATTGAATATAAACTGTTCAATTTTTGTAGGGCGAGATATAAGTTTTGATTGAATCAACATCCATTTTTTTTTTATTTCAAAGAATCATCTTATAAAACTTAGATCCCAAATTTTTAGAATAAAAAAAAAGTCCTTTTATATAGCTCTTTTGCCCAAGAGAGTTAAATATACAACATGCTCTTCTAGGGGCAGACTCAAACTTGAAGCTAAAATGCCCACTAATTAGCCTACGAATTCATGTACACTCTCTACTTGCCACCAAAAAAATGAGGGATTGGTTCAATCAACATTAACATTCCAAAAGTCTAATTGGACTAAGATTTTTAAAAAATGAAAAGATTTTATGCTCCCTCTCAAGGGAGTGTATTGTCTATTTACTCTGTAAGGCAAAACCCAATATAAGAGTGTTTTTAGGATCCTAAATTTTGGGGATGTAGCTTGAAAAATAATGCCTCAAAATTGAATAGAAATTGTTCAAATTTTTAAAGGGTGAGATCTAAGTGTTAGAAAACTTAAACTTCAAATTTTTTTGGTTTGAATATAATCTACTGTTTTTTATGTTGTCTTCCGATAGAAAAAAATCTTCCCAAGTTAGTTTTCTTACTTTAGGGAGTAAGTGTATTTATAATCCCCCTAGAGCATAGTATGCACACTCCTAAAAAATAAAATAAAAGAATATGAATAGTATTTTAAAAATATTAAATATATCAACAAAGTATCCTCAATTTGTTTAAATGGTATAATTAGCATAAAAGTGATCCGATTAGCCAAAACTGGCCTAATATTAATTTTCACAATTTTATTAAGTCATTTTTTGCTTGTCTAAGGGCTAATAAGCCGGCTCGATCTTGTCATGATTAACTATATTTTTTAGTTATCTTTTATCTTACCACCCATTGTTCCCAGTCTCTACATAGGCCTAATGCTTTAAATTTAGTGGAATTTATATCAAGGGCCTTACGCATGATCCTTTAAAATTCCGGAAAATTGGTAAATATGCCCATGTGCTTGTTAAAGGCAGAATAATATATATAAGCTCATTATGATCTAAGATTTGGTCCCCATCATTGTCTTTCTATCCCTATTAGTGAATTTTGATGAATGTTTAGAGAGGGATTGTCTACTGTAAGGTTATTAATGCCAGCTAAGAAAAAGCTGACAATCACTCTTAGTAGTTAGATATGAAAAATTTTCACTTGGGAGATATAAAATTTATTCATTGTTCATCTTATTTGAACTCCAATCTAATACCTACACCACCAACCCTCGAGGGGCACATAGACACATAACACAGATATATGAGAGAGAGAGGGAAATTTATACAAAATTATCACAAAGAGACAATCGATTTTATACTTTACCTATATTATTAATGGAAAAGTTTATATAAGGTGACAACCTTAAAATGTAGAACAAAGATGACAACTCAAATACC